TTCATTTTGGACGGCAAAAGTATGGCAACACCATTCCTGCTAGAGTCGTCTCTTCCTGAGAAATACAAAGTATTTCCAGTAGTGGTAGTAAAATGGCCTTGTCCACGAAGGTGGGTTTCACTAATGCCCAGTATAGAGATGTTGTGATTTTCTCTTTCATTGTCAACGATGCTCAGCTTTCCTGGCTGGAGTATTCCGTTTACATTCCAGGTTCCAATACGATGATGTGCACGTAATGAGATTTTAGTACCAGTAGCATTTCTTCCTAGGGAGACCTGGTGCTCTATCTCCCGGGAAGCATCGGTAGCAGATTTCACACCACGCGGCCCGGATACCGGGTGGCGCCGGGTGTCAGCCGGGGCGTCCGACAACACAATACATCTATTTCCTTTCATCATGAGGTGGCTTTCTTGGGAATATAAACATGGTGGGGTCCCGCGTCCTTCCATGTCAGTCTTTTAGAGGGGAATTTAATCCCTCACGGTCACTGGAGGCCGCTTCGTGATCGCTGGGTGGACACGGAGGTGGGTTACTTGACCGCCGCCCACTGCTCGGCGTTGACCTTTTACGGTTGGTTTCGTCATCTACCACTCCAACCCTCCTCCTTTTGCATCCGGGCTTGGGACCGGCAATGGCGGAGTTATATGTACTTTCTTGATTATTTAGATATCACTGATATACGATGAAGGAAAACATCATGAGAACACCTGGATTCGTAATTTCTAATTATATGTTTGAAATCGCAAATCAGCCTTGAGCGAGCATGGTGATTTATGCTCAAACCATGTGATAAGACGCCTTTGCTCAGCAGTGGACACTTACAGGCTAAGAAAGTATTCGTATTACCTCAGAGAAGAGAATTACAATGTATACTGAGTAATATTGAGCCAAATTAGTTCAGTGGATGTTTAGAACAATGATCTTAAGGTTGAATGTGGTGAATCTAAACTACCACCACCTTTAATGAAAAGAAAAACACCATAAATGAATAGTTACGTAAAATTTATAGAGGCAGCAGTGCCTTCATTAGATTAAACACCGTCTGTGTTTACATAAAATAAAAGTTGTTCAAGTTTTAATCTAGGGAAGTGTTGGAGTGAAACGGCTTGAAAATGAGACATCGGAATCTTTCTTAAAACTGCATTTAAACGGGCTTCAGTAAAGACTTTTCCTAGATAAATAACGGGAAGCTCGTGTTTAAGTAGGTAATAACAGAGCTGTAGTGTAGAAAAAGTATACAGAGGATTATTTTACATGGCACTAGAATAACGCAATAAAAGTGTAATATATAGGTACTATCATTTTTACTGAAGACAAAGTCTGCTTTGAAGATCTCAAGTGAACTGCTGCGGAGGGTGGGGCGAGACTCGAGGCATATAGTTGGGTCAATGAGACTTATATTAAGGTATACATAGATCGACAAATAAGCATACGGGTTACTTGATGGTAAACAATTATGAATGCGTTGCCGGCCTTTTGGGGATAAGGGTTTTGGAAAATCAGGAATTGGGTAGGGATTGGGGGACGGAAAGGATTGGGTCTCCGGTAACCTCACTCTCACGGCGGACCACCACGGTGTGGTTGTTTCACTCCGGTTTTCTGTGAGGCTGTGGTATCACGCCTTACGAGCTGATTCATTAATGCCTAAACTTAATGATTAATTAACCTTGCCTTAATTAAAGTTGTTTGTGCACTATTTTTTATCTTAAAACCAAAAAAATGAAGCTATTTATCTTAATTAGGATCGAAAAAATATTTTGAACTTTTTTTACATAAAAACCAGTGACTTGTGTAGGGTAAGGCTAGTTGTCCGTAATCCACTGACTCTTGTTTACCGATCAACAAAAGTTTGCGTTCAGTGAGGGGTGATTGATTAATAATCCGGACAGGTCGCTGTTAAATTGGAAAGTTACATATTTGACGTTATATCATATTTTATTGGGACCAAATAATCCTCTCCGGTAACCTCACTCACACGGCGAAACACAACGCTGTGGGTTGTTTCACGCCGGTATTCTGTGAGGCCGTGGTATCACTCCGGTCGAGCCGACACATTCGTGCCGAAGCTTGGCTCTCCCACACTTCAACCTCTCCCTCCCCATCCTCAAATCCTCTTAATACTTAAAACCCCAATAAACAAGACCCAGCAACGCACTAAATCAGTAACCCCTTTGGTGCTACATGGTAACCAGTGTCTATGGACGGCGCTGACTGCTTACTGTCAGGTAATCCGTCAGCTCGTTTGCCGGCCTATGGCAAAAAAAGAAGAAGTAATAATTAAAAAAATGCTGACAATGAATTCAGAAAACATCCTATCAATAATTAACCTAAACTCTATGCTCGGAATCAAAGAGATCTCACAGAAATTTTGGTTACTAATGTATTTTTATCAGTAGTGTTATAATAACTAAATTTAATCAAAATTCTCTGAATTGTTTTTGTTTGAATTACCACAGCCCATTTACTCTTTACAAAGTTTTGTTTATAATTTGTTGTAGGACAATTAAACTTGGAGTGCATATAAACAGCGAATAACCACACAAGTTTTCATTGAAATATAACAAAAGCTGTTTCATTTTACCTAGATTCATCATAAGACCTAATTAATTTCTCCGCAACTAAATGAGTTCAGTACAAACTGAGAGGTTCAGAAACTTCTCATTGTGGAACAAAGAGGTTCTATAGTAAATAGAAGGATTAAAGAATATACTGCAATAGACAACGTAGACAAAGGAAGGGCTTTATCAAACAGCCAGCGGCATTTCTAGTCGCTCGAGAATTTTGGAGGCTTCTTAATTGACGTCCCCTACACATGTTATAGAAGAAAAGTAAAAAAAAATCGTGATTAATTAATTCCCATTCAGAACTGTTGTTATGAATTTAATAATTTCAGAATAATTTAAAATAGAAAATAATTCATTTTATATTAAAAAAGAAAGTCTTATAAGCTTTTAATAATGAGAAATAGATGTAGGTTTAGTTTACCTCGTGGCAATTCTGCTGATGGACTTAGGCCCAGTAGTTATAATGCTTAACTCGATTATGTTTATAGAGAAGTAGCCAAAGATTCCTTCGTCAAACCAGCTCGATGGTACTGCAATATAGCGATACAACAGTTTGTAGAGCGTGTAATTCAGATTCTTATATGTATAGCTCTTATATATAAATGTTGAACAGAACAATAATATTTTAAAGCGAATGTATTCGAAGTGATCCAATTATAAAATTTAACGACTTATCTTAATCTGAGATCAAGAGGTAAATTGCTTATTAAATTAATCAGACATAACAGACGTAAACTCAATAGGTATTATTATAGGAGATTCAGAGATTTCGTACAGATACCGCATAACCCTTAATTACAACATTAATCGGATTTTACTTGACATTTCTATCTCAGGCGACGAATTTTAAACAAACTCGAAGAGTTGATCCCTTCTAAATTAACCACTAACTGGTATTACATCCTAAATTCATCTGGTGGTCAAAGTATTATCCCTATTAATACATGCAAAAGTGTCTTCGTTGATTTCTTCATCCCACAGATTAAGGATTTGACATTTTTCCATTTCTCTGTGTCGGTCCTTCGCTTCTGAAGATCTTTGACCGAGTACATTTCAGTGGCTCCGTTCCCATTTCATTTTATCTTAGTTTTTGTGTGCTATTTATAGAACTTAAAAGTTAATTAGTTATTTAAAAATCTTATTTTATAAATAGGTCGTGTACGTTAGATACATAATCATCATCATCATTAGCCCGTAAGTGTCCACTGCTGAGCAAAGGCCTCTTCTCACATGGAGAAAGTTTAGAGCATTAATCACCACGCTTGCTCAATGCGGGTTGGCGATTTCAAACTTATAATTAGAAATTATAAGCCTATGTTTCCTCACGATGTTTACCTTCACCGTATGTCATCGGTGTCTAAATAATCATAGAAAGTACATATAACTCAGAAAAACCTGGGTTCCTTAACCTCTGAGCCACCACGACATAATAGCTGACTGTGAATTATCAATAACCTATTATAAAATATTTAAATTATAGATTTTTTTTTGTATTTATAAACAATGTTAGTTCGTAGGTATGATAATGATGTAAAGGCCTCATCTAACATGGAAAGGCGCATTAATCACTACGCTTGCTCAAGGGGGATTAACTATTTAAAAAGTATTAAAGATTATAACGCCAGGTTTGCTTAGGATGGTTATCTTCGCATTTGTCAGTGATGTTTAAATAAACCTAGAAAATACGTATATACGTCTACACTTGGTAAAAGACGTTGGTACCACTAAGTTTTGAACCCGTACCCTCATGCATGAGAATAACTTGGGGCTTTGAAGACAAATTTTAATTACCTTCACGCAATCTATAAAGACTTTCACATAGAAATTAAATAACGAGAGTATGTATAAACATATATACGAAATATATCTGCTGATGGCGTAAGTTGGCGATGGCCCTTTTTTTAATAATTCCCACTGAATCTTTATTTCGCAACGTTATTAACGGCACCCCCATTGTTGACTTTATTGACTCGTAAAAATATTTAACTACCCTCCCTTTTTATACTATTTTTATTTCACATTAAATATTGAGTTATTGCGTATTATTTAACGTATGAAATTGTATTTATACGGTTGTGATGCTAATAGCTCAGGTTGTTTTGTAATTCGAACCCTGATATGTATAATTAAAACAAAAATATATGATTTGAGAGCAGATACAGTTGCACATCTGGTTGAAAATCTGCAAGTTTCAAGCAAGGCTTTGAACGTCAGCTTTTCTCTTTTGTAATTAAACTGTTCTCTGTCTCTCTCTTTACTGGACGTTCGGAAATTGAAAAATAATATTTTCTTTATACCACTGAGGTTATCATTAAAAAATAAAATTCATTTGCAAACATGTAACATTGCATATTTCCCTGATAAGTCCACGCGGGTATGATTCATATGGGCAATGTTTTCTATCAAAATAAATCTTTTTTTAAGTTTGGGAGAGCCATGCGTCGGCACGAATGTGTCGGCTCGACCGGAGTGACACCACGGCCTCACAGAAAACCGGCGAGAAGCAACACTTGTGTGAGTGAGTTTATCGGAGGCCCAATTAATGAGTTAATAGGCGGCGCTGATTGCTTACCACCAGGTAATCCGTCTGCTCGTTTGCCGATCTATGACTTTAAAAAAAGTTTTTTATAGAATAACGTTAGTATTGGTATTCAATGGTTCTGCTCACAGCTTCAGTTGACGTGGCTAATTAAAATATTACGTAGGTATGCATTTTCTCGAGTAAGTTTTATGGCGTGGTGCCTTCTAGTTTTATACTATTTTTATCACTTCTGATCCTCACAGGTAAACTTGGTTATCGCTATATAGGTACACTCGTATTTTATATGGTTGAACCAGATATGGAGATGAGTTGGAAAAACCTCTCAAAGGAGGCGTGTGAGTGGGAAATGCTTTTTTCTTTTTAAGAATTAACAAAACTCGCACTACACTTCTATTTAAGGCCTTTGGTAATTTCAATGTCACATTAAATTACAATCAATAATACCCAAGGTTATCTTTTACGGAAGGTTAATTCTTATGCGAGGAGGCTTCAGACTAATATTATCAAGAGGAAAGATGTGATTGTTTTATTTTCATCTAATAAGCTCTGAAACTACTGTTGGTAAGCTACCAGACTATCTCCGGTGAAAACAGGCTTAGACTACACGAGTGTAAGCGCGGGAAACAGCTAGTTACCTTTACTGTTACGTACCGTAACATCATTGATTGATCATTTTGCATGGCGAAGAATTTTTTTTTATTAGTTTTCCATATTAGTCTTATTGCAAAAGTTGTTTTATTTGAGCATCAGAATCGGGTCCTCGAATGTGTCCTTCGTTCAAAATAACTGTACCTATATACAAATTTAATAGGTAGTTGTTAAACATGTTTATAAATAAAAACAGTGGATGACGTTCACGCATGTTTCTGGCAGGCGGGCAATCCGTCAGCAGCTCGGCGACGGCACATTAATCTATCCTTAGGCAAACAAGTTCGTTAGTCAACTGTTTGCCCATTTACGCTACGTTCTAATTTTCAAAGTAAATTAAAGTTTTAACAAAAACTTTTAATTATATCAACCAACGGTTTCTGTAGTTTTATCTTATTACAAAATTAGAACTTGCTACCAAACATTAATTTACAATTCATTTATCCTATTCTGCATTCGGTAACATCGATAGATAGTCCGAGTAGTCTAGTTGGTGGTGGCTATGAAAAAAGTAATAAACACCACCAACAATTCCATTGAAAAAAATATAGAAGGTATTGAATTAGGAGTCCAAACGTCTAAATTCACAATAACAACTTATAAATATAATTTATTTTAGGGGCAATAAGGTAGTTTGATCGTAACTTCAGTGCGATATCCAAACTAATATTATAAATGCGAAAGTAACTCTGTCTGCCTATCTATCAGTCTTTTTCTCACGCCTAAACTACTGAACCGATTTCTGTGATATTTGTTACAGACATAGTTTGGATCTTCGGAAAGGACATAGTATAGTTTTTATACCAAAAATCTACAGATCACTATTCCACGCGACCTACCTATGTTTACCTACTCATGTAAAAGAAAAACAAGAATATTTCCTCTATCGAAAATAAATGGGTGATTGTTAAATATTCCTGACTAAGATACATAACTATCAACAGCTAAATCAACAGTCAGCGGGAAAACTGTATCGTCCGATCGTTAACCAAAAGTTCGTCCCCAATCAGCGGCCATTTTTAGCTAAACTGACAAAACGAGGGACTCCACCTTACGCCTCATCCTTTTGTTTTTATATATTATTTTGAAAGGAAGAACATTAAATAACGTTGCAGTTTATAGTACTGTATTTTTTCATGACGGGTCACTTATTGATAAGTACCTAATCTGCGTCGCCAATGAAGACCAGCATCACCAAAGAAGTTCCAGGTCTTTTAAAGAATTGGGTATTTGCGATATAGTGGTAATGACAGCGACATAAATTAATATACGTATATATATATATAATTAACTATATTTTTTTACGTACCTAATAATTCTAACAAGGAAATAATAATTATGCACTAAATTAAAAAGGGAAGGAACGTACCTACTATGACTACTTGTATTTTACAAATACTTACTGCGAAATGAACGTTAATGGATATTATCTAAGGTTTTAATTACAAAGCAGCTCAGAAAACGTTTGTAAATTGAACGTCACAAACAAAATAGCTTTTATTTTATTTTCAGAATTGGTTAATACAATGGAATTAATCTTTGAATCCTTCCCATATCCCTTCGTATTTCGTTCCTATTCAGGTTCATAATTATTATCAACCTTTGTGTAGTCAACAGCAGATAACATGCAATCAAGGCCGAATGCCATGTTCGTAATTTGAATTTTGTTCCCTCAACAATTTTTGTTTCACAGATTATGCAAACAGATTCTCTTAAAAATTAAAAATGTATATTTTTGTGTGGATTTAAGGAAGCGTTTCTAACAAAGGAATATACTTAACCTTTCTTTAGACCTTCGCTCAAGAATAAGATTATAAGAAGAAAATAATTGTTATAAATGTTGAACTTAATGTTCCTAATCAGTTAAGTACTCGTATTCAGCGGCTTTTTCTTAGTTTTTCCCCATAATTATCTATTTTTATTAGCGACGATCCCAGTTCTAATATAAGCCCATAATTTATTTAATCTACTTATATCCATACCATACCATATTTTCCCTAAATTACAAGCTTCGACACAGAATAATAAAATTAGATATTTTAAAATAGCCTTTTATATGGATAGACCACAGAGGCGTAAAACTGACATTTCATTAATTTTATTAATAAATATAGTATCGTAACCTTTATGCTAGAATGCAATTCAAACGTGTAGGGCTTTAAGCAGAAGAGAAACTCAAAGGTTTTTCGCAGATTAAATCAGCAATTGCGATATATAAAGCGTTTTACTTAAGGTTTGTTGAACGTCGGCGACCAGCTCTACGAGAATATCTTTGTTTAACAAGCTCTGAACGTGTGCTTCTACATAAGAACATATGCATTTTGATGAGGTTGACCAAGTTTAAAATAGATTTTGGAGGATTTGTGTTAGCTTTATCCATGAAAAAATCGTCGTCTTTTATGTTAATTTAAATAAGTCCTTATACAACATTTCTATGTCAAGAGTTCCATACATAAAAAAAAACTAACAATAAACTGTATTTTTAAACTAATTTTCATTTTTACAGATTTACGCCATGGTTTGTGTGATCTCCCAATTCCAAGAATACCTCGACGGTCGTGGCACTGCTGCCTTCGAAAACGTCGATCGGGTAAGTTTGCTAGTTAACACAAGTTAAGTTTTTCTATTTAAAAATTAGAAAAAAGTATAGATTGAAAAACACAGCATCAATAGACATCTTTTGAAACTAAAAAACTTAATCGCACACGCTTAATAATCCTACCAAAATCTTAAAAACACTTAAAAAAGCTTTTTTACCACCTTATATATGCTTTCTAAATAACCCGATGAACGCCCTTATCAATGATGGTTTCCAATAACAGTCTCCGATCTCGTGAGTCCACAGTATGTTTCTTAGTAAAACGAACTAACAGCAAAATGCTATAATTCTACAAACAAATTACAACTTATTAGCATTATTAGTCCATTAGCACGAAACATTTCAATATTGCATTAGCTAAGCCAAAATCCATCAATTTGCATGCTCCAATGAGTCCATATGCATTATTATGTAGAGTTTATGCATATACCCTTAATCATGTATAAAGCTTCGTAATAATTAATCATAGCGTGAGCCTATTGTTGCATAAAAATCCTTACAACAGAATAGGGTGTTGTTTAGTACCCATTAGTAGATTATATATACAGTATGTATAACATAATTAAAAAAGGACTACCATGTCGACATAAATATTTTGATTTATCGACATGAAAGAAGATAAGAACAAAAACGCTGGTATAAACGTGTTTACGAGTTTCATGATGCTAAGGGATTTATCGAGGCTTTCTATCAATAAAGCCGTTTATCGCCAGACCAACCGACAAAACTTTTATCGGAACGATTGGGGAACGATATCCCTTAACGCACTTTTGGTTCTAAAATAGTTGCCTAATTGATATCGACCGGACTTTCAGCGGCCGAAACTTGAAGCTCCGAGACATGGTCGTTTGTGCGGATAACGATATAGATACGCTATATTATTGTACCCGAGGGTATCGTTAGAGGCGACTTAACGGATACTGTCTATAGAATCTGACATTCTTCTTTTGAGTTTAATGAGAGAGCTTATAAGTGGTTAATCACTAGGATTCTGATGAAAGATATGTGTGGGAACATGTAGTGGTTATTGTTTCGTGGTTGCTGGTCTCAAGTAGCGGGCACGTTTGGCGGAGTCACGTCGGGTTACAATATGGGTGGACGTGGCTCGCGGCCCGTAATCCCAACTACAATAAGGCAGACACTGTTTGGTTCACTGTACGCCATTAGTCCTTTTGATCGCAGTTGGCATGTTAATCAATCAACCTTTACAAAGCAACATTATGACATGTTTTGTGTGTGAGAGAGATCGATATAAAATCGTACACTCATGAAAAGTTTTTGAGACAACCACTCACGATATTACGCGCCGGTGTCTTCAGAAATATGGCTCAGTAATATCTCTGTCTCTCTTTTACATAATTATGTTTATTTCCACGCATTATTTACATGTATAATATACATTCGTGCTAGAAATCTACTTCAGTAGGTATAAGTATAGTAATATAATATCCCATACTAAACATAATGTTTTTAATTCAAGGATTAATAAGGAGGAATGACTCAGATACTTAGATTTTCATTGCCGTCTAAATGATAATAAGTGTTTTCGTTTTGCTTTTATTTTTATAAATGCAGTGTTTTGGGTTAGATTTAAATATGTAATCGTTAATTTAAATGGAACTAGGGTAGAAGCCACTTCGGCTGTTGCACAGTAAGTCTCCTTCCACGCGCTTTGCCTGCCTGGTACCCACCAGCTAAGTGGGTGGATGAGTATGAAAGCGTTTACTCGTACCATTACAATTTTCTCGGTAAGTGGTCGGCGACTATATTCTAAGATCCACAGGCACTGCAATGTCTCCAATAGCGATTTATCTGTAGCTTTTCTTTCGACTATTAATCACACTTACTAATCCTATGTACAACTAACTTTCTTCCAAATTAATTGGCAGACAACGAAACAGTGTAGTGGTAACACACAATCTTTCAAAAAGTACACCAATCTAAACCTTTTAATTGTTATTTTATTTAACGACGCCTATGAGTACCTGTCACCAAAGAAACCGACAGTACTTAAATGATAAAATTTGTCTATAGAATTATAATTTGAGCGAAGGATACACTGCTCAATACATACATAATGTAAAAATATTTCTTAATAATTGCTGTGGTAGTAAAAAAACAGATGTGGTCAAAAATCGATGATCTAATAGCTCTAAGCAAGTCATGGAGGACAAATATCAGTCTCTCCAAGTGAAATACTGATATCCAGGCGAATCTTGGTAAGACTTATTTATTTTCCTCTACTATATTGAAATCTATGTGACTCCGGTATTGGTTTATTCGATTTACTAACACAGGTAATGTGAAGGAAATCGTATCCAACCGGATTCACGATTGTAAACGACAGTGGGCCCGCATGACGGCCTGCCTGACCGGACGCTCAGTGGTTTCAGATCGTATTTATCTACAGATTGTAGAGGAATTGTGTTACCACCGCCATAATTGCGGTAACTGTTTGATTTGGCATTCAAAGGAGACGGGGACTTCTGGGCCCTCACGTAATAAGTTGAAGTAGGGCTTAAAAAAATGGTTATTTTTTTCTATTTTACATAGTAAAAAATCAATTTATTTTACAATCTGGGAAATGAAAAATCCAACAATTTAGTTAGGGTTACGAAGTAATCGGATTATCGATTCAATTGTAATTAATAACTCTGTAACGAACAGAGTTCATACTATTTACGAAAATGATGTCACTGAATGATTTATTTAATTAAAATAATTAAATCATTTAAACTCACAATATTAAGAGTTTAAACTGAGTTTAGAGTTTAAATATCAACATACCTAATTAAAAATATTTTATCGATTCGTTTTTACTAATCGATTATTGTATTTTTAATCTGTGCTAGCTCTGACATGTATGACATGACACCGATCGACACTCGTTTCGTATCGTCTATGCGTGTGCGTTCTGAGTGTTTTTATTTTCCTCCCATTTTTATTATTGGTATTTTCCTCGGCCCGGCTTTCCCACGGACCTTTGATTTTCCTCCTTCTACGACCCTTGCCTTGCTACCATTACCATACCGGACACGGAGAACTTCGCTTAAACGTTGAACTTGGACTTGCATATTTTGGATTCGACGAACAGCCTACCGATAGGATATTGATCGACATTATGGATCGTTGTGTAAATTGTGGCATAGCGACTAGTCGCTGTAATACACTAGGACGTCGAGCTTTGGATGACGAAATGATATTAGCAGTGATTCGAAAATGGCCAAAGGAGGAGGCGAAAGGAGGAGGCTGACCTCCTCCTTGGCGAGCCTTACTGCATAAGCCTTGCCTGCTAAGTAAACTAAAAAGACGAGAAAGTAGGTAAACAAGAAGTAAGCTATGCTGTGCAGTCGAAGGATGCATCTGGTTTATATTTGATATATGTTTATATACAAACATAAATTCATACAAATATCCACACGTATACTATTAAAACCATTACCCGCCTCCGGCAATCGGGTAAAAATCACTATCGCACTTCAAAAATTGGCTAATATATATAGATTGTTACTTAACCTCACTTTTCTTAAATCTTTTATATCTCGGCTCCCAGATTGCCAATATCTGCGAAATTTTCAGTAATTGTTTCTTAATATAGTAGCTATCAAATGACACCAGTTTCATCTTTTTACATCTAGGCCCAAAATTGTATGAAAGCGTATCCGTCTCCTTTTGCCATATACATTCGACGCGATATTTATACGCATAGTTTTCCTATTACATTTTGGTATTCTATACTAAAATATTCTATTCTAAATTAATTTTCTTGTATTTTCTTTTCTTTTCTATTTATTACATACCTATAATAATTACGACGTCTTTAAGCGTAGAAAAAAGGTGTAATTAAGATGTCTGTTATTTCATTTCCCTGTTGTGTGTAGGTATGTTTAGCAGACAAATAAGCGGAATGTTATATGAATTCAATACTAGAATATCATTCAAAACTAGAAGAGCAGATATGCTACAGTATAATTTTCTATTAAAGTTATGTTACTTAGAGGTAAACTGATAGACTGATCTAACGAGAAATGTCGAGCGCGTTTCATCCCTAGTGGGTTTTTGAGACTGGAGACCAAATTATCGTCGTATTGAGTAAATTACCACTACTAACGCGACATGATCGACTTTAAGAAACACGATGAAAAAGGTAGTTGATATTATCATCATCATCATCCACTGATGAACAAAGGCCTCCTTCTTATAAACTCTTATTCCTTCACGTCGAACGACAACTCGCCACCTGAATCCATTGGCTCCCCGCGAGTCCACCTAGCGGGAGGCCTGCCCACGCTAGTTTTCCCGGTCCTTGGTCGCCACCCGAGGAAACTGTAGTTATCAAAAGGAATAAATTATTTGTAATGCAAATCTCTGTTGCCGATGTTACCTATCTAATGCAAAATTCAACTGTATTTCCTTGGCTATATTGAAGCGCTATACAGCACCCCATCAATGAAACAACCAGATAACTTATACCTCAAATATCTTACAGAGATAAAGAATATCTTTCATTTTTGTTGTCGTTGTACAAAGAAGACATTTTTTTACTTTTTCGCTTCGAAGCTCGCTTTAGAAATATACAATATCTTTGACGAAGCTCGTTTTCGTATTTCGCCTAACGTACCTACCTACTTAGTTAAATTAAAAATGTATATATGTGTGTAACGAAGGAAGTTAGTGTTTAAATTTGGAAGCGTTCATTGTTGAAAACAAATTCAATGTACATTTCTAATCTGAAAGCTGAAAATGTCGCGTTCACTAAATAAGGGAATTACGATAAAATATTTGCAATCGAAATAGAGTACCTAGTCGACTTAATCCAATCTTGGTATTGATCACGACTTGATACAAACTATTTTCGACAAAGAGCACCAGCTTTTGTATATTTTAGTCCGGTTCGTAGTATTTTCTTGCTGCAAGTTTTTATCGCCAATTATTCAAATGTATTCTTGTAATAAAATTAGACAAGTTGTTATGTTAAATGTTAGAGCAAAGTTTATTTAATAGTCTAACGATATTAAAACATTAATAATATATTATTTATCTTTTAATTTATCGAACCGAATGAAGTTAGTTCAACCCTTTCAAGTACAACAACTCATACTCGTACATTTTAAGTACAAAAACTTTCCACTCAAGATTAAGTCAAACTTATCTCACCGTTTTAAACTTTAAACAAACTCGCTATTAACGCTAAAATTTCATCATGATATAAGAATGTTTCATTACACTAATATTTACCTACATTTCACAAAAAGTTACAAACAAAAAATAAATAATTTCTATCAAAAGTATTTACGTACTTATAAAATATTTTTTAATAAAATTAATTTTGTTTATATTTTGCACATGGGGATTCAATTCCTTGGTTCTTTTTAAAGCGGAAAAGACATCATACTATTCCCTAGACCTGGGTACGGCGAGAGACTGTCATGTCGCACTCTTAATGACTGTTAAATTTAAAATTAATAAATAAACCTGGCACATAAATCATAATCTACCTTTAAAAAGTATATAATACAAAAAAACTTAATTGAAATCGTTTCATCCGTTCAGGAGCTATGATACCACAGACACACAGACAGACACGTCAACTTCAAGGTTCTCTCTTTGCGTCGGGGGTTAAAAATGACCTCGTTATTTCTCCTGCTCCACACCTTGCCGATGTGTTACATTTTTGCGCTTGCCCAACAACCCCAGATTCCGATGCCATGCAAAGTATTATTGAACATTTTCAAATTGCGAAAGTCGTCATGAAAATACTCGTGCGGATTTACACGAATTTCCAAATCTCCCCTTTGCAAAGCAATCAAAATTCTGCTTAAATAATTATCAAGCTCTAAATATTTATAAAAAAATGTTTAGGAAACTAACATCTGTCACACTTTACAATACAATGTTTTAGAAAATATTGTGGTTTGGAACAGGAAAATATTTAGGCGAATACTCAGGATGACGCTATAGCTTACAGAACGAAAGATTTTTCAGGCATTCTACAATAGTATAACTTTACAAAGAGTAAAGAAAGAAGATCTGTCGCAACTATACCTAGCAAGAGACAAATACTTGACACCAAAAAAATATAAAAAAAGTGTTAGCTATTACTTTACTTTTTTTCTTTATTGTTGTAGTGGCCCTATACACCTATCTATTAAAATTTAGCAGCCTTTTCAATCTAGCTAGCTTTGCCAACAAGAGAGATATTGTGAGAGATAACTTATCAAAAAAGAGCATGGACAAAAACTTTTTTATAAAGAAAAACATATCCCATTCTACAAAAATTTTACTCTTGTATCGTGGATGCATTTACAAACATACAATTTCACATACACATAACTTGTAACAGACCGCGTTGATTCAAGTCTTTTGCTTTTCATTTTAACTATTTCTGTTTCTCTAATGTTCTATTGTTTATTTCCCCAAGAATACGGTGCAGTACACGGCAACGGCTCAACAGACTACCACCACCAGCTCTGCTCCAAGTGGACGCCGTCGCTCCGCTGGACGACCTATGCCAAGCCGCTGTGACCCTGAGGAGTTTTCCGAAGCACCCACCAAAATCATCAGTAAGTTTCACAGTTACGCTTCCACAATTTTAGGAAAAAAAGAACAATTCGATTGCTGTTCTCAAGGACAGTTAAAAGTTAAAAATTATCAGCGAATTAATTTGTAACAAAAATAAAATAAAAATCTTTCTTCAAAGACCAAAATAAATTAAGCTCATACATATAGTATAGACTGACATGTGAATTTGTCAATGTCGAATTTTCTATTAATCATAGGTACTACTTATTATAGTGCCACAGTGGCTACTATAAGCAATATTTTGAGCTAGTTTTCAATTCAGTTCTGGCGATAATGTGATAGGTCAACTTCTAAAGTCTTACACCTTAAGGTACCTTACCACCAGTTCCGAATGTGCAGTGCTTCTTCAATGGAATGTAGAACAAATGTAACCAGATTCCATTCCAAGAAGAAGTGACACGCTTAGACTAGCTAAATTGTTCATATAGCCAATCAGATTCTGCTGGTATTTGGGCTTAAATAATACAACACTCCAATTGCTGTCTCATCGAGAAAAATAAGCATTACATACCTATATTTCTTAGCTACCTGCAAGATTGGCAGAACTTTAAGAAGTTCAATTCCATTCATTCATTTATCAATTTTAGCTCCTAGACAAATAAAAGAAGAATACACAGAGCCACGACCTCAAACCAGTCAAAGCGTAATACGTAAGTAGAGGAATGAGATGTTTTTGTAAAAAAAATAACATTGGTGAATGTCTTTTACTAAAATTTGTTTTGTCCTACGTGAAACTAACACAATCACTGTTCAAATCTAACAGAAATCACTAACCATCTACTTCATACTACACATTACACCGTGATGTCATAAGTTTATTATCACGCACATTATTTGTTTGCCAAACACCCGTGTCCAACACACCAGAAAGCGAACGAATCAAAAAACAAATCGAGCATGATCCCCCTCAAATGGAGCACACAATAGGAAAGTTTACTGAGGTAAACGTAACGAAAAGCGGTATTTATAACACGAAACTTTGATTTCTGAAAGACAAACTATTGTTAAATAACACAAATACGTAGCATGTAGATATGTATTATACGAAAAATGTACTCAAAAATAATAAAATTGGTATTCGGCAAGCGTTTTTGAACAATAACCGTGCGTGCATTAAAGTTTATTTTCAAATGACATATGTAATTTATTTAATACATTTTTCAAAGTAAGAAGTTGTGTAAAGATTGTTTAAATAACTCACTGATCTGCAAATTTTATAAAATTGGTCAACTTTCAGAAATCAGAGGTCCTTGTAAGCGATACTAATCGTTATGAAGTAAAATTTAAAGCAGCTTTTACTAATTCCGCCTAATCGAAATATGGGCAAGGTAACCAACTAACCAATAAAATGTAATGAAGCATACTGAGCATGCCAACTTGATCCTCAACCGTTTTAAAGGTTAACTTCCTTAACTTCCCCTTGGTTTTCTTGCTATCTTTTTTTATACACGTTATCAAAATTTCCCATTGTATTTTCGCACAATTATTTTTGATTGCTATTTGAAACGAAATATCAAGTCATTTGATGTTTTGATTTGAAAATGAGTTTCAATATTATAATATAATAAAATAAATAATAAATATTATTTTAGATTTTATTTCAGCTGTTAAAAGTCGGTTCTAAAAGTATAACACTTTGGCCCACAGACAAATGTACAGTTGTTGTGTGTACTGTCTATTTCCAAGCTGGCTGTACAAACGATACACGATACAGTATATAGAAAATCTAACATACGTAGTAATGAAATAAGGTCTAAATTAGCAATTTTGTACTCCATCAACTTATATTTACATTGGCTAAATACGACTTTTGAAGTTACAAAAATAAAATAAAAAGAGAAGTACTCGGAATCTAATATTACACAGCATTAACTTCGGAATTGAGTCGTCTCTAGCCGAGTGCCACTGGCCCGCATTATAATTTTGTTGCGTACATTATGTAAGTTACGAAGTTCGTTGGAAAAGTTACGTTACAAAAAAACCTGAAGCGTGCAAGTCATAAATCATGAATTTTCTTTCATACTGTTCGAATTTTATACGTTAGAAACAACAACTATAATGTCGAAGTATGGGAAAGTTTTCACTTGTGGTCCCAGGAGAAAATTAAAGTTAGAATTTGTGACAATAACACATTACCCGCTACGCTTATTTTTGTCTAAGTCTGGAGTTTTAGTAGACACACACTATTTCACTATTTTTCCCTGGTTAGTGATGCACTATCGAATTTAGTAAAACAGGAAGTAACGATACCTTCTTTAACGGACTACTAAAACAACTATTAATATTATAGTAAAAGTACCTGTTAAGATTTTTAGAGTGGGAAAAACAAATATCGAAAACAACACTGTACAATCATCCAGCTTTGTAATTCTTCGAGCATTTTGTTTCTCCATTGTACAGAAGAAAGAAAATTGTAAAGAACATTGTTTGCAATCGACACTTCTATTAATTAATTGTATTAACTCGAACTGGAGATAAATTTTAAATACAAATAAAATATATTTTCAAAGAAAAGCAGTTTCTATGCGTTATTGTTTAAGGATGTTTACTGCAGGTACATATAATAAAATGCTGCATAAGGCACGTTTTTATTAATGTTTGTTGTATGCAGAAGATATCTGAAGATGACACTTCACTTCATATATTTGCAATATGTATATTTATGTAATATGATTAAGTTTAAAAGGGGTGTAGACACTTTATGAGTCATTTTATTTATATTTCAGTGTAGTATGCTCTTAATTAATATTAATAATGAAGTTGCAAAGATCTTGTTATGCACTTGCATAATGATGAGGCAGATATTAATTTAACACCGTGCTGTAAAATGATAATTTAATATTTTAAAACTACATTAGAATAACATCAAGGTCCTTGTGTGTATATCATTTGACATAATAATGTAAAATTTAAAATGACCGACCTAAGGCTAATTTTTCAATGGTCAGATAAAAGTTACCTGGGGAATAATTATGATGCTGTCGCGTCAGAATGTTTGTATAAGACAGTGACAGCAACAATTTTATTCGTCAGATAACATTTATCTGACTATTGAAAATCAGCCCTTAGTCAATAAATGGTTTACATAAAATCCTAACCAACTGTTTTCAGAACAATATCTGCAAAATGCATTGAGGTAAATCATTTTTCGTATTCAAAATTCGAAATCACATCGTCAACGAGGTGACTAAGTATCTAAGTAGATAGGTAGCAAAATCCAGTTAGAAATAAACTTAGAAACTTTGCCTACGCTAGCGAATTCGCGAGACAAAACATTGCACACATACCTACACATTGTAAGTTCCATAAGCAAAAGTAAAATCAGTTTACTCAAGGGTAACGTTAGCTCACCCTAAATTTAACGCCTGTTTACCCACGAGTGACGTCACATTACACGTTGGAATTTTACACCTGATATAACTTCACTCTGTATTTCTAAAAAGATAGAGAGAGACAGAAAACACTCACCCTTTCAAATCTTACAAGTACACAAGTAACCTAATGATTGCTATTGAAAATGTTTCTGGAAATAGCAAACTCGAGTTATAACTCTCTGTAGAACATTTAGAGTCCCGACTTCCGAGTTAACTCTTCATAATATGTGTCAATCGAATTATGTGTATAAAGCGACAGAGATCAATTAAGGTGAAAACATGTGGCAGAATACTCGTTATGGGAAACTATTTCGTTGGTGTTATTCGTGGAGCGAATGTAACTTGGGTGATTAAGGAGTGACTAGCATGAAGAGGTGTCTTACAAGTCGTTAATTGTAAGGAGTTATATACCGGCAACCGTTGAGGCTTTTTCACACTCATGAGCATATCGGAATTCTTCCAATACCTAGTCAAACTCTTGAGCTAGATCGCTGTATACACGTCTGTGGAATTAACTTCTCAAAAAGTTGCGCTGTATATGTAATATTAAAGGCACAAATGCCAAAATAATTTTCCATCTGTGACCGAAATTTCGCCTAGCGACGTCTAAGATAATGTTACTCTTTAAATTTTTCTACAACCTTTACAGACAGGTACTTGTCTTGTCTGGCATGAAACACTTGTAATATTTTCCAAGTAGGTACTTATATGAGAAAAACAAAGGACTTGAATGCCTTCTTATTAGGTAAGTAGCTATATGCCAAAATTAACCGTGTACTGAGAATTAAAGGTACTTACCCAATATTTTGTACTGTATGTATTGTACCTCAATTAAGGATAAAACACGTTCCTTCAATGTTTTTCTTTGAAAAGGCACAAAGAATCGATACTAAGATTTCGGTACGAGGTACTTATGGCAATATATAGCTAAATTTGTTCACACGCTTCCATTTCGTTGTAATAGCTACACGAGACTTGTAAATATGCCTTTATATTACAATTTTGGTGGATAACGCCTGTAATAGAAACTAAAAGCCGGCTATTCAGATACTTGAGATTCTCATTGCTATGAAGGTCTACATTGCCTACCTACATATGTTACTATGTGGATTTCTACCAAGTATACCTACCACAATACAGTCAGATAAATGTTTTTTGTTTTGAGGGTTGAAAATCATCCTGTGATAAATGATGTGGCTAAAAACCACCCCGCTCTCCTTCTCCAGACCAAAGGTCTGGTACCCTATTCCTAATAGACCATGGATCCTATTGGGCCCCACCTGTAGTGGTTTGTTGACACGCTGAACGTTACTTTCTTAATATCCCAGCTTTGACGTTACTTAGTATCTTAGCTTTGACCATTCGCTAATAAAACCTACATTTTACGAAATGAGTTCATATGTTCTTTCTATATATACCTATAATAGACATGCCTATTTAATTAAAGTACCTCCTTCCGTCAGGAAGAAATAAGTTATATTTACCTAATATTTGGTTTACAAGACAATATTTTCTTGTACATAGGTACGATGCAGGCGACGTGTACTCGTGCCAAGTATATTTACAAGGTGCAGGGTTACTTTCATAGTAAATGCATCTTCATATCCATACAGATATCGGAAAAATATGTATGTGATATCTTAAGAGGTGGTAGTCTCTACACGCAATAAATTGAATTTAAGAAAAAAGTGTTTGAGCAATGACAATCTGTGTTTTAGCGTCGTAAAATATCCTAATGGCATAGGTATTCGAAATTATAAGATTGAAAGCCATGTTTATATATTCCTAATGTTCTAACAGATTTCAATTAACATCGTTGGCGTATAACAATAATTATGCTTAAAACTATTTTCTAAGTTTTTCTATTATTCACACCTTAATCTATTGTATTTGGCAAAGAACTGGTAGTTTTTTACAAATTAAAATACTTTCTTTTATAAGAAGCTCAAGGATTACTGCCAGCCCCTATGACCTTAATACGGCTACCTCATCACATATTTATGTTGATCGGATTTTCACCCTTAAGAGTTATTTTGACCTGAGACCATTAATGTAAATCTTTTGGAATAGACAACTACTAGATAACACAAAGGAAATAAAGGTATTTCTTATACAAGGATGTTCTACATATGTATATGTACAAATAATGAGAAAATAAAGCGAACGCGTTAAAATAAATGCTATCAAAATTCTGAAGCGATCCACGGTGCGCCAACGATACTTAAATATATATCATCATTAGGGAAACCTTCACATACACCTAAGTACCGGATGAAAAATAATTTATGTGCTAAGTACGTTTTAATCACGGCTTTAATAATTAGGAAGCACAATTTCTGTTAGCCGCACTTCATCTTATTAAATCATATTCTTGTGTAATGCCATCGTCACGCTTTTCATTCTTAAGCAGTTAAGCAAAATTAGAACAGTATGTACTGCACTTATTTCGCAGACAAATATCTGTATTTTAGTACTTATCGTTAAAGGTCGTGCGGACTTTGAAATTATAGAATTAGTTACACAAGTTCCATCCGCCGGCTTCCTATGTGGCAATTTATCAAGGTAATTTTCATAATTTAAATTAACACAATAAAATTATTACTACTAGGTACTGGCTAATCTCACGCAGTTTAAAGCACTGCTTTATTGGTCTGTCGTACCGTGATGATTTTGTTCAGTATCTTTCCTTGATAGATTTCAACACAAAAAGAACTGTTTAATTTGAACCCGTCGTTTCAAAAATTATCGCTTTTAAACTGACATACAAACTCTTCAGCCTTTATCATATGAAAACTACGAAAAAAGTAATGATTATAATGTATTTATCAGGAAAGTTAACGACCATCCCGGAAAGTAGAAAGTTAGATTGATTTCATAAAAAAACAAAGTTTCAATAAAAAGTGCTGAATATTAAATCAGTGTGCCTTATTTTCATCATCATCATCATCATCATCATTGAGTGGTTATAAGTTCCTATTGCTGAGCAAAGGTTTGGGTACAGGGAGAAGGTCAGAGGACCAGGTTTCTTCACAATGTTTTCCTCCACAGTTGGTTTGTGGTGTCTTGACTAAATTAGAAAGGACATAATTATGTAGGTATGTTTAACTAAGAAAAAGTCACATTGGTACTTATGTCAGTTTACTAAACCACACCCTCATGCATGATATCATCATCGTTAACAACACTAACATAATCATATTTAAACATTATTAATGTACTACTTATATACCATAACTAATAGCATTTATTTTTTATAATATCATTCATTAATTGAAGAGGCAAAAGGTATCAACCTTCTTGGAGCATTTCCCGATTAGAATAAGATGATGGGGCCTAAATTAGATACTTATATTACTTTCATTTTCCTCCTTTTTAAGTTTTGGTTTTGTATATTTTGGGGGTGAATGGTAAAAATTGTTTATTGATTAATTTTATTACAAAGTGAAGAATTAAATTTGTTTTCGTTTAAGGTCCTATTTTAAAAGTTCCTCCTAGTGAAGAACCCGATAAATTGACACGTGGTAAGTAACATATTGAATTTACAATGATGTATCCAGTTTAGATAGATTTATAAAATAGTAGTAATAATACAATAGATGGCAAAAGAGGGAGACAGACTAAGAGATGAGAGGACGACCTCAGGCAAATGGGGAATTCCTCCTACATGAATCCGAACAGCAAAGAATAGCACAGAATAGAGATTTTTAGAGGAGGCCATTGTCGGAAGAAGTTGAAAAGTATATACCGTTTGCCTAACGCAAAAATAATATAATAAGAAAATAACAAACAAAATAATATAACAATTATTCATTAATAATACATAAATGTAAATAAGACATAGTTGCGCCTTCTTCTCATACTTATATATTTAGATTCGAAACCCGGTAAGCGGGTACTAAAGTGACTTTTTCAGAGTTAAGTATATGTACTTTTAAGATTATTTAGACACCACTGACAAACGGCGAAGGGAAACATCGTGAGGAAACCTGGACTTGTAATTTGTAATTATAAGATGAAAATCGCCAATCCGCATTGAGCAAGCGTGGTGATTAATGTTCAAACCTTCTCCGACTGAGAAGAGGCCTTTTCTCAGCAGTGGGTACTTATAGGCTGATGATGATGTTAATAGTTGCGAGTACGAATAAACTTAATATATTAGTTTGGCACATATAGATATATTTTGTAATTTAAACAAAAAACAACAATTAAGGTTTTTTTTTAAATAACGTTCGGAAATTAATTCGATTTCATTATCAGCATTCATCAAAGGTACATGCCTGATTTCGCCCCTAGTGGCGCTAGTGGAAACTTAGGTCTCTTTTGTCCAGTACTCTTTACAGATTTCAAGTCATTAGAATATAGAGTTTTGAACAGAAGTTTACCAGGCCATAAGCATCTTTGGCTTGGTGCTAAAGAGTGCTTGGGAGCACAGAATCGATCGCACAATACCTCTGTCAGCCACGCTTCATATTCAGCTTATCAAACACAGTCACACTTAAGTTACACTTTTCGTTCTTAAACTGTATCATCAAGCAATAGATGGTTAGATGAAATAAGAAAAAAAAAACAAAACATTTTATATCAAATATTGTTGAAGGTCGTGCGGACTTGGAAATAATGGAATTTGTATCACAAGTTCGGGATAGCGGCATTCTACGTGGCAAGTATCTCCTAACATATCTAAAGTCACCGTATAATGTCACACTTTCAATGACTAGGTACACGCAATATAAAATTACAACAGTAGCGACATCGTCGTGATTACTTGAAACTATAAAAAAAATAAGCTTTAATCCTATGATTAAATGTCCGTTTTAAGGTTTCAAAGTACTGGCACACACACTAACTGACGAGTTGAAATAAATTTCAATTTTAATTCCATTCTATATTTGTAATCTGGTCATCCATTCAGTATCACGCAGCACATAAGTATTAGGTAAATATTATATAAGTAGAAAAAACTTAGGTACTTTGCATTTTTGATTGTAATCATTTGTTTTATTAACCATGCCAAACAAGATTTTTATTCTAAGTAAACTAGCACTAGTCAAGACCGATACACTGCTTATAAAGTAAGCTTAGTAAAAATACTTCTTATAAAGTACTTAACACACTTAATCCAAAGTGAAAACACATCTATAATTACAACAACATGATTATTTTAGTTAATTAGTTAATTTGTTTATATGAACAATAAAAATGATTAAAACAATTATCATTAAAGGTCATGACGTTCCTGGAATTAACAAAGGGGCTCAATCTCGAAGTCAACTGATGCAACCTGGCAAGTTTTACTGCAATTTTTTGATTCACCTCAGTCTTTACGGGACTTCATGAATTGTATTCGTAAAAATTACTAACAATAAAATTTTATAATAATGTATTGTGGTGACATTAACGCCCTCTGCGTTTAACGTAAGTAGTCACATTATTTTTTCAATATCACATGTACTTCCATATTTGAATCACGTGCCAATACTGCCAGTCTTCTGGTAAAGTTCCCGGTGACGATAATGCGGTTGATTTCTTGAATGTTAAAATCTGTCATTCTAATTTCTAACCCCATCTTTCTTTATTTTAATTATCTACAGTTCATTTAAAGTTTTTCTTTGTGTTGATTTATAGATAGTTACAAAGAAATAATTGGATTTGCTTTATTAAAAGTCCAGTTTATAAAATGCCCACTCAAAGATGCGCTTAAACTTCAATAGCACGTCTTGACAACGTATTAGTGAATACCTAATAAATTAAAAAATATAATGAAAGCCGTAAATGTTACGCCTGTTATTTACGTAGGAGGTCAAGTGTTTCAGAAGTTAATTCTGATTTCGCTATCAGCTCTCATCAAAGGTAAATAAGGCAATCGTGCCTGATTTTGTCCCTGGGGGCGCTAGTGGGAACTAAGGTTTTACCTCGATGGTTCAGTAGAATGCATGCGGGTTTCCAGTCATTTTTAAAAAAGGCTATAAGCACCTTTAGTGATACTAAGAAGGAGATAAGTTATGAAGCTCCGTGCGATTTTAAAATCGACTTATTCCATGTGACAGCTTCATTTGGCAAAAAGGTCATATTGTCATTACCATCCATCAAACACAATTACGGACTCTAACTGGACATAGCAGAGGTACCTATCAGCAATTTAAATATTATTTTGTACCTTTCGATTAATTAATTCTGACAACTAGGCGGCCACTTCTGATTTTTAGGATTTGTCGTTTCTTATTTGTCTCATAATTAGCAGTATATCAAATATTTTTTTGAAATTTATAATTTTTATTGTTAATAAAGAATAATCTCCATGTTTTTATCATGAAACGTCGCGATGGTTTGTTTAATAAATTACGAGCAATTACGAGCTACACTTGGCAAATAACAACGTGACTATAAAATATTTACAATTTTACTATTCTCATTAACTTAGTGAAAAACCAACATATAAATTAGTGTATTTAGGAATAGTCTGGGTTTACGTAAGAAATTTAACGCATTTGAAAGAACACTATTTTCCTCCATTCTGCAACTACTGATTGTTACCCAAAATCACAAAGTTTTTTTTTACAAGTACACAGCTGCCCTAACTTGTAACCCTAATCTCTGTATTTTACGTTTTGCGTCGAAATTCTCAACCCTCAATTTACTATGAAAACATCTATATCTAAGGTTTCTTTCAGTTACAATATTTTATTAATAAAATATGATTATAAGTAAATGCTAAATGGTTGCCACTTACAACAATTGCTATTATTATATGACTAAAGATATTTAAAAAAATACCTACTAATCCATTAACGCCTTACTGTGTACCGCTTACATCGCGAACACAAAGTATGCGAGTATTATAATAGAATAGTCTTCATAGCGGCAGTCAAGATGTTAATAATTATAATTCAAGAGATCACAATTAAATTTGTAGCTTTAGTAGCTTCAAATGTGCACGTTACTCGCACATATGTATTTTGTGCCTACACAAGTAAGAAATTAATTTTATTTATTGTTCTATTAAACAGCGTCAGTGTTGTCGCGACCAAGTCGCTCGGCAGTGAAGAAACACGTCCAGTTCCCCGACGAACAAAGCTGCATCGAGGAAGCAATCGAGGCTCCTCAACCAGGTCCCAATGAAAAACCGGGTGAGAACCTTTTCCTAATGTCAATGCCATACGTTACCAAGGTAAGGATATTTCTTATTTAAAAATTTACTGCGTGTTCACGGTAGAAGTCATCGACTCTTCACAATCACATCTTCGTGATCACCTTCGATCAACATCGGCAAAACCAATGTCTTATGTCCTCCAAATTATGTACGTACGTGATCATCATTTGTGATCATTTTATAGTAAGCATTCAGACTTATAACATAACAGCACTTATATAATGTCCGTGATCATGACCGCACAAAATAGCATCAGTACAGAATATCATGGTTTGTTGAAAAAAAAAACTGAATTTCTACATGGCCGAGTACTTGTGTGTGTTATGTCCTTCACTGAGAGGAATCTTCATGAGCTTACAAACCGAAGCATGTTGATATTTTACCTGGGAAAAGAGAAAATCGAACGTATCTGAATAATTAAGAAAGATGTTATTAGATCCTTGACTAAATTTCATGACCACATGAGAGCGGTTGCTGACAATTGCTATCTTAGATTAGGATTTGTGTTTCGTTATTGAGTAAACACACTGGAATACGGTGGAATCCTTATAAGATTAAGTGGGTGTAAATTAAAAACATTATTCTTGAGGTTTTTGAAACAAAATGGTTTGCCCTGGCCCTGTTCTGATATACATATACAACAAAATATCTATTAGGCATGTTACGTTTTAATTTTCTTCAGGTAAGTCGTGATTTGTCACGACCTGTAGGACGCGGCGAGAAGAATGACTTAATGGTGGTTGTCATTGGCTGTACTTACCGGATTCACCGAGAGCGTGACTAGCACTTACCATGCTCAATTCTTCTCCGACATCAGAACAGATGTTTTGTCTCAGTGATATGGATGTATGTGGGCGTGAATGTTTAAGAATCTGTGAGAGTACGAATGTTTGGTAATTACTTTTGTTATTTTTTATTTTTATATTTTTGTTCAATTATTTATTGTGTATATTTTATTGTATTTGCAATTTTAATCTTTGTTATTATTTTTGTTATTTATTTTTATAATTTAGTTTTTTTATATATACTTAATTTAGTCTGTTTTGTATATGTATGTAAATGGTAAATGGCAGATCTCGTTCCGCATAGTTTTTTGTTGTTATGTAGATAAATAAAGAATTTGTACACCACATTAAAGTTGGGTAATCAATTTTATGTAGTTACCTAATTACTTGAAAATAATAGAATAAATAGATGCGATAAATCAATAAAACAAAAGGCAATCATGTTTTAAGAATTGAGAGTTCAGAATGTTCACATGTGATGAGCTTGCCATACACTGTATCATCCGATTTAGGAGCAGATTCTCAGATAAAATTGTATTTAAGGGTTAATAAATAAATGTACATGAATACAAAAATTATCTTTTTTTCTCTTATAACCTAGACGCAAAAAAGGTAGACTAGACATGTATCATAGGAAGACCAAATTAATTTTATGCCAACGTTTCAACCAAAGAGACCATGATTGGGTTTTTTTTGTCAGGGGAAAATCATCCAATGACTTCACCGGGTAAGGCGAGAGAGAGTGTCAGAGTCTTACTGCCTAACCTCCCCTCCCCCCCCCCCCCTCCGTTCCTTCTCCTGCTCTGGGCCGCGGTGCCTCGTTGCCCTTACCCCGCAACCCAGGCTGAACCATGATTGTGTAAAAAAAACTTTTGCCCCCACTAGGATATTCTCCTGTGTCGTGGGTGAGTTTTTGCTCAGACACGGGACGACGTTTCGTGGATCATACAGAGAATCAAACCTGCGAAACGGCGGCTATTTGCCCTACTACCGCGCCAACAGTGCCGTTAAAACGCACGAACTCTATCGAAGAGCATTAAAGTTCATTTAGTTTACTACCGTGGTATGCATGTATAGATCGCTAGTTGGGGACTTACCTAACCTAACTAGATCTTTAAATCGCTTATTTTTTTAATCTTGGTAAATTGAGACATAAAAGAAGAACAATTATAGGTGTGCTTAGGTTTGATGAATTAAACAATGTTTATGTACCTATAAATAACAGTCTTAGTAAGTAGAAATGTACATAACCTTAAAAAATAAATCACAATATAACTCTCACTTGATAGTTTTTAAAAACTAAGACTTTAAGCAGAGCTTGTTTATCATATTAACTACTAGGTAATTACAACAATAACTATCCTTAAACATAGAACAGAACTCCTACACAAGGGTGCCGTCACCTTTCTCGAGGATGATTATTATCTAAACACATATAAAACTAGCTACTCTCGCGCGGTTTCACCCGCTGCTACGGCTCCATTTGGTCGTAGCGTGATGTTTTATAGCCTATAACACTCAGGAACATTGTAGCTATCTATCAGTGAAAGAATTTCGGCAATCCGACCGGCGGTTCCCAAGATTACCCCCTACATACAAACTTACAAATTTTACCTGTTTATAATATTAGTATAGATCAAAGAACTTTTAATCAAATAAGTGTCGTTAATACCGATTCATAAACACATTATTTTGTACGCTTAACTTAAGTATCTTGTGACTAAGTAGGCACCTAAAACTGAAATTTATAACCGTTTTGAATTCTTCAAAAATAATTAGGTACATTTTTGTTCGTAACTTTTTTAATAAAAAGACGTTAAGCCTGTATAAAATACGAAACTATGCAATAACTTTTTAGCGTTTTTTTGCATATGATTAAACATAAAATGTAGTTGTCCGTTAAAATTGTCTGTCGCGAAAGATTATGCTGGTACTTGAGGACTTCGATGCTACTATTGGGCGCCACTTACTTTTATGAAACATTTTATTTATGGCATACATATATCTTCGTTGAAATGGAAACTTTTGCCGTACAATATTGAACATAGATCTGTGAAAGTGTCTGACTCTGTAACTTTTTGTATTTGATGTCAACCTTCATATCTTTTGAGCCCATGTATTAGGATTGTCTGTTATCTTGTCACTCATATCGGATTGTTACACAAGAAAAATGTTAACAAAAAATCGTCGAGGGAATAATGGAGTAGTAAACGTAGGTATACATATGTACTTATATATCGCTTTATTTTTATAAGTGCTATCTTGTTAACTGATTTAAAATTTATACAGAAATATTATAACAAGTTCAACATCAATCCCCAATTGAACACCGGCGTTCGCTCACCTATTGTTCTTCTGTGGTCTCTAATTACTACGATTAAAAGGTTAATATTTAGTTAAACTTATACTTGGATTAGGTAGGAAAATAATCTCTCAATTTAAACTTAGCACATACAATATTCAATATTGTAGGTAAAATGTTTGAAAATGTAAATATATTTTCTGGCCTTAAGCCGAGGGGTAGGTGAACAAGTTAAATCGATATGTCTTTGTAATGGACTATAAAACATCGTTTGAAACTAGGACTATTAGCGGTTTATTGTCATGAAAGTTTTAGCCACGCCGCGCCGCCGCGTCGTTCGCGTTCCGCTGTCGGAGACAACAATTTTTCGAGCTGGAAAAGTGTAAATGTGGAACCAAACTAAGGCTATCTAAATTGCTCGAACATTAATCACTATCTCATACGTTCAAGCGGCGTGATTTGCGATTTGTACGTGGCTTCCGTTCAAATAGCCCAAAACGCTACAATCTTTACGAATGTTCAACGACAGAAGGCTGAGAAGCTATTGAAACTATGAATTAATCTTTTACAAGTGGGAACGAAATCTATATCGGAATGTTTAAGTAAACACAAACATTAAATCCTCGAAAGTTTTGACAATAAATGATCGAGCTAAATATATGTATATTTAAATAGGTAAACAAGGATAATATAACCACATTTAATGCCATAGAAATGCTATAATACCGTCTTTATTCATTCTCCTTCAGTTCAGATAATATACTATGATATTATCGTTACGGTGTTCGGTTCCAAGTCTTTGTGCGAGTCACCGCTTCGTTCCTTACGAGCCATGTGTAACAAAATATTTGCCATCAATACGTATTCAGCCGGACAAACACTTGAGACGCGACGGTTGATAACATGGACTGCTCGGTAACATGTTGACTGAAGTAACGCTCTATTAAATAAGGCATACGATTGATATTGAAATAGGATAACTTTGTCACACATTTATATCTAACTATATTTACAAAGACATAACGCTAAGCCACAAATTAACATTACTATATATGTAGTATTTATTTAATTTCGTAGTCTTATTTATTTAGGAAGCTAGTCCGTTGTCAAGCGAGCTTCAACTCTTACCTAGCTTTTCAGTAATTTTATGGTAGACACCGCACGCTATATCATCTCACCAATTTTCATTTCGAGGTAAGTTGCATGTATAACTAACTATATGTATGATTAAATTATTTTATCAACATTTCGATGTTGTCCTAATACGTAAACTCTGATAAACAATGCTATCAGATCTTTTAGCTAGATCAGATGAAAGATGATGATGTTGATTAACTAATGCAGGTTTGAAGCAAGCAAAGTTTCTAGAACATTATATGAATTTCAATCCTAATTATATAAAGCACGCTTAGTCCCTAGAAAATGTAGACAGAAGACCACTGTACATTTTACCATTGTTATTGGCATTGGCGCAATAATAACCCGGGAGTTGAGAATACTCGAAATAGGTCCATTTTATTTTCAGATGCCAATGACAATATTTCAGATTGATTTGTTGATTTCACTAATGTATACTTTAAATTGTAGAAGCGCGCGTCATCTCCTCGTTGTGGATGGAACTGGAGTCGGAAGCTCCAGCGCCAGAGCGCTGACGCCGGCGGAGCGAGCAGTACTACCGGCCAGTTTCCCGAGCTCGGAACGAGCGTCGGAAAATGTCAGCAGCCGGAGTACCGCCCGCAGACGACACACAGAAGGATTCCCTGTAAACTTACCGACCACTGGATGCAAGGTGAGAGTTCTTAACCTTTATAACTATAACTAAGCAGGTATTGTTTAATGACGTGGTACATTGTGAAGTGGTGGTTTTCTTTATTTTTGAACAAACGTTGCCCCACATTAGGATTTTCTCCTGTGTCGTGGACACCTAGACCCGGAACAATAATTTGTGGATCACACAAAGGGTTGTTCCGTGCGGGAATAGAACCCGCTACACGTTGCACGGCCCAGCCACCGCACCAACTGTGCAGTATTAATAAGTTTTATAATATTATAAAATGTCATGGTGGCCTGGAGGATAAGGCGCCCGCTTCTCATGCATGAGGGTGCGCGTTCGAAACCTGGCAAGTACCAATGTTACTTTTTCCGAGTTATATGTACTTTCAATGATTATTTAGACACCACTGACATACGGTGAAGGTAAACATCGTGAGGAAACCTGGACTTGTAATTTCTAATTACCTATAAGTTTGAAATCGCCAACCCGCATTGAGCAAGCGTGGTGATTAATGCTCTAACCTTCTCCGTGTGAGAAGAGGCCTTTGCTCAGCAGTGGGCACTTATAGGCTGATGATGATATAACGTATAATATATTATGTTGGTTTTTAAGGTATGATCATAATCTATGGGCCAATGTCGTTTGAATACAAAACATAAACGCGCAACGTGTCGTAGGTTCGAATTCCGCACGAAACAAATCTTTGTGTGATCCACAAATTGTTGTTCCGGGTCTGAGTTAGATGTATTGTGTATAAAAAAGCCCTTTTAATAAAATAAAGATTAAAAAAAATGTATTGTGTATGTCAAATTATATGTTTTTAAAAGCACCTACGATACAGGAATAAAATATGTTAAAAAATTAAATTTAAAAAACTCTTTCTGTGCTGCTGACTTGCTATTTCAGTTCACCGTTTGTATGCCTACGTGCTGTTAGCTACGGTTGTAGGTAAGGTTTATATGTTGGGTAAACTTGTTATATATGAAATTTGATTACTTTTTGACTGGTGGGTGGTCTCTGTGCGGACTATATAGTCTGACAATATTTTTTTAATACTCTTCTGTTAGAGTATTCTTGCATTTAGGTCTACCAGTTTGGTGTATCTCAAGTAATGAAGTCAACGTTTTAGCTAAATGGTTTAAATGTATGATTCAATATTTATATTTAAATATTAGTTCTCTTTCAACCGTATTTGTTCTTAATATTGGTGTTGCTTGTTGAATAGCTATTCTGTCGTTTAATTAAAATTAGTCGTTCTAAAAGTCAAGTAAACACCTACACAAATATTGAATCGTTGCATTCATTTTAATAAAGAAAATAAATAATCAATCGATTAATTAGTATACAACGAGAGGTTTATGCAGAGATATAACACTCATTGGTATAGAAGTTCTAAAGGACGATGTCGGTCAAAGGTTCAATCAACATTTATCTCGCCCATTAATGATCAAAGTCCCATAAGTTTGATCATTATACATCATAATGAAGAACATCAGTAGGAACGGATGTCGTCACGTTGGCGGAGATAAGCTTCGATCACACTGACTTGATGTGTATTCAATATAACTGTAAGTGTGTATAACTACTGAAAGTCGTAGCATGCGATTAAATACTTACATAAGCAGAACTTTAAGGTCTTATTTCGCTTCAGTAATCCTTAATTCCCGGGTACCTATTGAGCCAGGACTGCCCGCAGGTCGCTCCGCCCTTGAACTGCTTTTTTGAGGCCACCGACCGTCTGGTTGCTGCCATTTAGTGCAAAAAATGAATCCGAATTTTATTTTACACCTACAAATGACTAAATTTTTGGCCCCAAAACTGCTGAAACGTAAAGTTTTTGACCGCAATCACATTAATTTGCAGGTCTGTCGTGAAATTTCGCTTCGTTTTTAGTGTTATTGCCAGGATTTATTTTAAATAATTTCAGTTAGGTGGCGTATAAATAAGTACATGACTATTGTAAATCGCGAGGATCAAAACATAGATAACAAAAACAAGGAGACATTATTTCAGATACGTAGGTACTTTAAATGAATATTTAAAAAACACTTTCTTTCCATTGCAGCTATTTTCTTATCATTTCCATATACATCTACATTTTCTAACGTAGTCTATCGCTGGCAAGTATTCGTGTAGCATAACATTATTATTCGTTTTCTTCTTTATAATAGATTACCAGTTTATTCATGAGAAATGCATGGAAAAATGGAAATGTATAATTATGAACTCCTTCAACTTGTAATAAAAAAAAACAATACTTAATACCTTTTTACTTTGCTCTAGGTACAAATTGTATCTTGTGTTTTATTTCATTCAAAGGAATTGCATCCAACTAAAATGTCTGTTGCAAAATACATATAATTACGTTCAAGTAATTAGCAAAGAGAATAGTTTCGCTACTGAAAGTTAACTTAGTAGTAGTGAAAAATAAATTTAAAAGGCTTCTACGAGTATTACGTATCTGGCATTCTTAACAAAATAGTCGTCAACAAGAAAGATACAAAATAATGAGTTTTCTTCTAGTTGGTTCTCTATTGCCTACTCAAGCCATACCAATTCACTTCAATGGACACGCGCCCAAGATTGTAAAATTCTTCATAAAAATTCATTGCGTTATCAAATGACTGACTAGCTAGGTACTTTGCCCTCGCTCGCAGAATAAATTAACATCAGTCTGCACTTCTAAGTCTACTTTCCGGTATTTAAACTTAGTAAATTAAGTAGGTATAAGTGTAGGAGGCCCATGCTTTTTTATGGTATAAGTCGGCAAACGAGCAGACGGATTACCTGATGGTAAGCAATCGGCGCCGCCCATGGACACTCTTGGAAACCGTGCAAAAGTCTAATTGAGGAACCTTAATATTTACGTATTTAACTTACTTACTCTGTATATACGTAATTGTTTATCTGCGTTAACTAACATTTATTATTTTGTTACAGATTAACCTCGATCAACATGAAGCTAATTGGCTGTACGCAAGCAGGGTAATGCGAGGCTAATTGAAATTGTTTCAAAAACAAAGCTATATTATCTGTAGACGTATTCTTAAAGATTTTAATCGAATGTTGCCAACAAGGTATGCTATCCTAAGCTAAAATCAAACCGTTTATTTAAAATGTTCCGAGAAATTTAAAACAAGCTTTTACCATAAGGTTCGTGCTGAACATTCGACTAGTCGGCAACTTTTTTTACAAATGTATAACGTCTCGTGCCATTGCGTACCTGCATTCTAAATAAAAACTTATTTTCCGTTCTACTAATTGGATTTAGTCTTAAGAACTCCGTTTCTTAACGTGATTGAACGCATTTACCCGTTTCGTATGAAAATTGGATTCAGAGGCAAATTGTATTATTGAACTTGCTTAAATGTCATTAGCTGGTTTACGATATAAGAACTTAAATTGTCTTTAAAGTGTATTACGTAACCCATTTATCGGATCAAATGTTAAATATCATATTTGGAATTAATTATTTTATGTGTAATTAAAGCGCTGTTTAAATTTTATTCATAGTTTATATTTGGTTGTTGGTACTTACTTTACGTCGATACTTTGCTTTGTACAATACTTTTGTTATATTGCATAGTTTAGACGCCTTTGCTGGTCATTACGTACTAAGTAAGTGTTAGATATTAAACACCTAAATGTAGTCGCGTGTAACAATATGGAGGAAAGTTAAATCATAATGCAAAATATATTTTCTCTACTCTCTGTAAGACAGAACCTATAACTTATTAACACAAGTACAGTCTATTTTATACTTCGACTGACGTAGATAGACATAGAACAATTTGATGTCCCAGATGTGTCACTTGTTAGCTATCAAAGAGTAAGATTAAAATAAATCTTATGTGACAATAAATAAGGCACACACTTCCAACCATGGACCTATGACTCTATGTATCTACGATAGTGTCCCGAAACCTATCACTCTACTCTGAGACGAGCTTGAGTACCAACAAAAATCTATGAGGAAATCGTTGTGGCAGCAATCGTGCAACAAAAGTAGACGACATATTTTTACACGTGACTAAACGTTAAGTTCTGGCAAATACTGCCTTGAATCGTGCAAGGTATATTTACCTACCTGTTTGAGGCAATTTGTAGCACTTAACAGTTTATAGTTAAATAGTTATTTAAATTATCTGTTGTGTTCATTGTTGTTGTGTTTTAAATATTATATTATGTTACTGCAAGTAAAGTGTTTATCTACTAATAGTTAAGTATGATATCTTGATATAGGTACCTAAGTATCTATTATTATATTAGCGAACTATGAAATAAACTGATTAGGTATAACTGTATAATATTTAGGAGTGTTCGTAAGAGAAATATTCGAGACTTGACTCAAAATTTTATGAATGAATTTATAAATTTTCGTAAACTTGGCTTCGACTTAGCCTTGACTGCGACCTTTTTTACAAAATTGGGGACGTCCCATTAAAATGTTTTATAGCTTCACAAATATAATTTAACTTTGTCATTATATTTGTAATTGGTGATTGGTTATCTTAACTATCATTTTCGTTGGTACTTGATACTTTGTGGAATATGGATATTTATAAATCAACGGTGAATAAGAAGGTACTCTTTTACCACTCTTGAATACCACCGGCAGTTATTCGATGTTGTAAACAGAATATTACTCGATATATAACCATGTAATCCCATAGGATAGTTACGTACACATTAAACTAACATACATATTATGAGCAAGATTAAAAAAATACCAAAAAAATGTAGCAGATTAGCAAAAGAATGTAAAGGCGAACGAGGCTTGCCAGCCATTCAGAAAGACGTACAGTTAAAGCTGGATAGTAGGTAGCACATTACATATAGAATTTAAAAATATTTGTTCAATAATTTGCTGAAATAAATGTCTCCACATAATCGTGCGTTTTATTTATCTCCTTAGTTAATTACCTTTTAAGGCGCTTCAACAACTATTTCTCTCTCTTTGGAAAGGCGATACAAACCGATATAGTGAATCAAATACGCCCAGGGTTAGGCAAGAGGAAGTGTCAGACTCTCACTGACTGAACCCACCAAAGAGAACATTTTTTCGAGCTGGAAAAATGTAGGTATATAAATGTGGAACCAAACTAAGGCACTCAAATTGCTCGAACATTAATTACTATCTCATGTTCGTAATTTGCGATTTGTACGTGGCTTCCGTTCGAATAGCTCCAAACTCCACAATCTTTACGAATGTTTACCGACAGAAGACTTTTTGTCAGGGGAAAATCATCAAATGGCCTCTCCCGCCCAGGGCAAGGCGAGAGAGAGGATCAGACTCTTACTGACTAAAAACCCCTCCGTTCCTTCTCCTGCTCTAGGCCGAGGCCGCGGTGCCTTATTGCACTTATCCCGCAACCCCGGCTAAGCATCAGCCCTACAGGCCCCGTCTGGGGTGGTCTTTTGAGTCTTTGAGGCGCGCAGGGAATGCTACGCGCCGCACGCTCGTGTCTGGTTTTGGAACTCGCCGTCCGCAGACCCGCGCTTACGGTGGCCGGAGATTATCTCTCGATCCCCGACGCCCAGAGTGTCTCCTACCGCGGCTGCTGGGACGAAGTTGGTGAAGAGGAAGATAGCTCTCTCACGCTCCGCCTCCTTTGCGCGCATAACAGCTTCACAGGAAGAAGGTCTCTTCTTCCTATAAAGCTGGCTGCCCAGTTCCTTTTGCTGGGGGTACACAGTCACCGGCTAGTGTAGGACTATTGCCGATAGTGGAAACAAGGGATAAGGGATTGGGTGTGTGTTGCTATGAACTAGTATGATGGCATCTATGGAAGGACACTATGGCACCTGCCGAAACCATATAATTTATAGTTTTTTAGGCTACAGGTACAGGTAAAACAAGAAGATGGAGCCTCGGCATCTCACCGACTGCGCCCTCGGGAATAGTTGCTAGAAATAATGATCGACTGATAACGGAAATGTGAGTGGCTGAAGGGTAACGAGACTGCTTTTTGAGAGAATCTTTTTACTCAGAGAATTCGGGTTTGCGTAAGCATCCTGCATCACTCCATCATCATACAGAATAGCTTCCACCCTCCGAGTAAGATCATAATAAAAGAAATAATATAAGAAATAATAAAAGAATATAAGGAACATAATACAATATAACATAATATAATAAACTTAACTTAATAGAACCTATAGTTAGTCCTATTGACTTACTATAGGTTCTATTAAGTTAGTTTTGAAATCTGATCCAACAGACAAACTGTGTATACAGTTTTGTTGGACATTTTATACTTTTTATAATGTAAAATGTAGCTTTTAAGCCATAATAAATAAATAATAATAAAATAAATATACATAAGGAACAATGACTTCTCCCTAGAGCACTCGGGCGAATAGTAGCCCTCGGAATCGCTATGTCCCGTTACCTCAGCGCAAGGTGCAGAGCAGGAACTCTTTGTTATTGTTCCCATTAGTTAGAACTAACTACAGTAAGTGGGAACAGTCCTAATAGGTGTATTGCCATAGTGCATACAAAAATGTCGGTGATTCGACCCCTCATTTAAACTTGTCTATAGGGCCTCTGCGCACTTGGCATCATCCCCTCGTATACCTAGGTACCTCCTAAATTAATAGTCTTCAGTCTCGTGGAGACTAGCCACTAACACGGTGTGAATATAATATAGACAAAGAAATAAAACGACATGTTGTAAATAATGTGATTATATTCTTAAATAATAAATGGATACACATGTTAAAGAAATTCGGTTTAACAAAGATAATTATTATAGTTTTAACATTTCGATGGTTTAGTTTTGAGACATTTTTGTTATGGACTCATTAAATGACAATAATAATATTAACTTTTTTAATACATAAGAATATAAATATTTAATAATAATTAATTTTAATAAAATTCTTACAAGTGCGCTCATTGACTATAAATACTAGACACGCGCGATAAAAACTAACGTAATTGGCAAAACTAGAATAAAAATAAAACAAATTGTTGTTCAGTTATCATTAAGTAATCGAATATGTAGCAAAACCTATAGCGAATACATTCATCCAGGTTTTATGCTAAGTAATGAATTAAATAAGTTATATTTGCTTAAGTTGGAAGAGAAATCAAATACAGTTTTCCACATTATACGCCACTCATACCTGAATGATTAAAATAAGTATAATTAAAACAATCACTTCGTCTTCATGACTTATGCGATTAATAGTAAAAATAAGAAAAAACGCGCGCATATTACATAAAACAAAAATGAACATCCAATTACAAGAATAAATATCAAACACTACTTAATGTAAGTACTTGTTCGACAAGGTTATAATAAGCTACGAAAATAATTTCAATATGAGCTTTACAAACCAATGATATTAAATTTGTGCAATGTATTACACAATTAAATTGCATTTTATTTTTAATAAACATTATATTAAGTAACATTATAATCTTTAAGATTTTTCATTTTAATTTTAAATATTAATAAATGATTAATTTACAAAATTGCTGTCCGTGTTTCACTGGAAGAACATCAAATAAATTCTATATAAATATTAAATCATATATTTACGTAGTCCATTTTAATAAAATCCAATTACATGTCGAAAATCCCCTGTCTAATTATTATTATATTTATCAGTGCTACGGTGAACGGTCTTTTATGAAATTGAAAATAGTCTTGGAGGTTTCTCTAAAGGCTCAGGTAGGAGCAACTAGCGTCACTAATACCGACAGACAGTCTTACTTCTATTGACTTTCAAAAGCTTTTATTGTTCACTTCAAAGCAAACGATTTGACTTTATGTCTGGATGGCGTCGTCCAAAGAATTATAATATTTTATTATTACTTTACTATTTTACATTCGTCAAATCTGTCCTTGTATTAAAGATTTTTGCGAAATATTTTTGCCGTTTCACCGTACATAAATAAGTCATGATCTGCTGCGAACTAGAATCCTGTGATAGATTAAAAGATCAGTACATTAGTGGGTTTAACGTAGCTATAGTCTAAATCTAGGGTTGTT